TAGTGGTTTTCTACTTTTTCCCACGCGTTGTTTATAAGGGTTTTTGTCGAAGAGGGAAGGCACTCGTGCCTTGGTTGTGTTTTGTTCTTGTTTGTTTGTTATTTATTTTGGTTTGTCTCCAGTATAAAATGGAGACATTTTGTGTTTTGAATAAATTTGATAATTCTTTCCTCTTGATTTTGGCCCAGTTCCTAGCCTTTCTCCAGTTGGAGCCAACTCCCTGTCCTTGGGGTTGGCTCGGATTATCCCCATCTCTTATCATTGACGATCTGCCCTAGCCTCTGTAGTGACCGCCGGACTGAGCCTCTCGCAGCCCCACTTACGGGTCGGAGACCCGAGGACGCGACGCCTTGGGAGCCGGATCTACCCCACTATTGCAGTCTGGGTCCCGGGAACCCCTCCCCTTGGTAAGTCAACTCCCGAGCCCCGATTATCACGTCGCTGGCCACAGTGTGGGCGGGCCAGTCGTCACTCCCTTTCCCAACTCCCTATGATTCCGACTTTTGCTGAGGTAGCGAGGGCGAGACGGCCTCCCGTCGGATGAGGCTTAGTAGGATCGGTGCACACGCCAACGGTGAAAAGGTCGCGTACGCAGGGCCGGACTATTGTGATCGTCACCGACGTCTCTCGCCTGGAGCGTCGTGGATGCAGGACATTAGGTAAGTGTTGTGATTGTTTATTGACGTTAGTCTATTCAAAATACAGGTTATTCCCCTCTTTATTACGATGGTGCGAAGGAAAAACGATACGCTCCGGTTGGTCCGTTCTAACTGCCGTCTGGTGCCAAGAGTACCTCTTGAGCCAGGTAGCGAGCAGAGGACTTCAATGAACACTGATTAAAGAATGTAAGTTAGTATTTGAACTCCTTAAGACCTCCCTCGGGTCTACTATCATTCGAAGATGGTAGGTGAACCCTTAGACGAGAGGGAGAGAAAAGTCACAACCGAGGTAGGGGTGGTACTTGCGTTCGCTGCTGTTGCACTTTCTTGAGGCGTAGGCGATTGGTGCTTCATGATTTTTCTCGTCTGGCTGAGCGACGTAACTTCCAACGGCGGATTCTGACCAGTCTGTGTAGAGGTGAACCGGCTTGGAGGGGTCGAAAAGACTGAGTACTTGAGGTGAGACGAGGGCTTGCTTGACTTTCTCGAAGGCGGCTTGATTTTCAGGTGTCCACTTGAAAGGGGCAGGATGTTTCTTGTTGCCGGCGCCACGAAGGAGATCAGTGAGAGGCGCGAGCAGGCTTGCGTGATGGGCTATGAACCGGTGAATGGTGTTGGCGAGACCTATGAAGGAGCGGAGTTCTGTCCAAGACTTGGGCGTTTCGAAATCTTGAATGGCTTGGGTTCTTGACGGTAAAACTTCCAGGTGTCCGTTGGCGACGTGAAAACCGAGATACTCGACTTGAGAGGCGAAAAATGAACACTTGTGAAGGCGACAATGAAGCTGGTGTTCTTGAAGTCAAGCCAAAACCTTGCGGAGGTGTTCTTCATGTTCTTCGGCGGTTTCTGAGAAGATGAGAATGTCGTCCATGTATGCGATGAGAAACTCATCAACATAGTCGTGAAAGATGCTGTTGACCATGGACTGGAACGTGGCTGGGGCGTTTGCGAGACCAAAGGGCATGACGACCCATTCAAAATGGCCGTATTTCGTTCTGAAGGCGGTTTTGTCGGTATCTTCTGGGCGAATGCGGATCTGGTGGTAACCGGATGCCAGGTCAAGCTTGGAGAAGAACTTGGCCTTGCGTAACCTATCGAGGATTTCCGTGATGTTGGGGAGAGCCGTGCGGTTCTTGACTGTGTTCTTGTTGAGGGCGCGGTAGTCGATCACGAGTCTGAGCTTGCCTGCTTGGGCGATGTAGAAGATTGGAGCGCCGTATGCTGAGACCGAAGGCTTGATGCGACCGTTTTCCAGGAGGAATTCAAGTTCTTTCTTGAGGGTCTGGAGTTCTTCTTCCGAGAGAGGGTAGATTGGCCTATGTGGTGGCTTGGCGGAAGGATCTTCAAGGTCGATGCGGTGGTCTGATGGTCTTGAAGGCGGGATTCCCTTGTACTCTGAGAATACTGCAGGGTATTGCTTGACCATGTTCTTGATGTTGTCAGGAAGCGAAGCCAGAATTCTTGCGTCTTTCTCGTTGGCGTCAGCGGTGGTCTTCAAAACCGGAGCGTGCGCAGGGACATGAGTGGGGACTTGATGGCCAGAGGAAGCTGAATTGCAGGAAGGTGCTGAGTTGCTTGAGGCTAAGCTGTCCGAGAGGATGTCCTTGAGGTGGATGAGTCCAAGTCTGATGTTGGGGAACCTTGCGAGGCGCTTGAATGTCTTTGCCGAAATGTGTTCCACAGTGACGGGAATCTGTTCTCTACAGATCCAGCGGTTGTTGCTGAAGGTGACTGTGTTGGTGGTCCAGTCTATCCTTGGGTTGACCCGTGTCAACCAATCCTTGCCGAGGATGACGTCGTACACGATTGGTGCAGAGATGAATTCTTGCTTGGTGACGTAGAGGTCAATGTTGAGTTCCAGGTCGCGAAAGAGGCGTCCTTTGACTGCTCTTGGTGTTGAAGCGGCGAGCTTGATGTCGAAAACTTCTTGGTTGGATGGTTTGCTGATGGCGAAGGCGAGAGAGTCCTTGACAAAGGAGTGAGTGGCTCCTCCATCTATGAGAACTTTGGCGTGCCGACCGTTGATGGTGCCTTGAATGACGAGAAGGTCACTCTTGGCGTCTTGTTTCTCGACGTGGTAGATCTTGAGGATGCGATCGACGTCTTGATGAGGTCTTTGAGGTTTGGGTGTGGATGGAACCGTCTTGACAGGAGCCTCCACAGAACTCTTGTCAAGTGTGGCGCGCTCGACCTCGGGATGTGGTGAAGACTCTCCCGAGGGAGCGCGCAACGCCGTGTCTTGATCAGGTTTGAGAGGCAGATTGCCTCTTACTGTTGCCAACCGTCGGTGCTGTCGTTTCCGAGACTTGCGTGTTGTTGACCTTGACTTGTTTCCGACGGATTCCTGGGGCGTTGCATTGCTCATAGCGATGTTCGTGAGAGCGGCAGTAGGTACACCAGCCATTTGCACGGTAGATGGCCTTTTCTTGATCGGTGAGCTTGGACCGGGTTGCTGTGGTGTTGTCGATTTCCATGGGAGTGGGACCGTTGTTGTGCTGTTGCTTTTCTTGCCTTTGGGAACGAAAATTGTGGTCGCGTGGTTGTGACGGTTTCATTCTGGTTGCTGCGGCGTTGGTGGTTTCCTTCTCTCCAGTGGAAGTCATCCAGGCGCTCTGCAGCACGCTGGAGTCTCTGGAGGTCGTCTTGAATGTCGAAAAGATCTTCATTGGTCCTGAGGATGGCCTTGAGTCCGCGGCGGTACTTGAAGCAGAGGATGATTCTGGGTAGACATGCCTGATCCTTCAATGGCGGCGACGAGCTCGTTGAACTGCTGAGAGTAAAGAGTGGCGGCACCCTTTTGCTCTATCTTGTCGAGGGATTCAATGGCTTGCTGAAGGTGAGTGATGAGGCGAAGGAGTCGCGAATCCACTGACAGTACTCTCTCCAGCCATGTGGTGACGGACGTCTGGGAGATTCTTCTCCACTGAGTGAGGGCGAGTCCTGAGAGGCCTGTGGAGATCCAGTCGACGTAGGTCTTGTGGTTCTTGAACTGAGGTTCTTCATCATCTCCAAGGAAGCCGTACAGCCTGGCGTCTTCAGCGGCTTGGTGGAGGTATTCATCAATTGCTGCTTGGGCCTCGTGAGCTGGTTTCTTGCGAAGATCCCAGAGAAGGATGGTGGCTTGCGTGACGTGATCTTGAATTCAGGAAGTTCTCTGGCTTCTGGTGAGAGGCGACGAGCGGAGCGACCAAGGCTTCTGAGGCGCTGAGGCGTTCTTGGAGCTGGGCTATCTGCTGCTGAGGCTTGCAAAGGCAGAGGCGATGTCACTGGTGGAGACTTGCTGAGGGAGTTCTGGTGTGTGTGACATTGTAAGGAGAAGGGAACAGTGAAGGGAGTGAAGGAGGGAGAGAGAGCTCAAATTGAGTGAGGGAGCGAGAGAGGGCTCGAAATGGAGTGAGGGAGCGAGAGAGGGCTCGAGAGAGTGAGAATTTTGAAGTGCTACCAAATGTGACGGAACGAGCCTAGCTAGGGCGAAAGTTCGTCAAAGAGGAAATATTGAAAGATATTTGAAAAGAGAAAATGGAGTTTTGAAGGGATTTTATTGAAGAAGAAGGGAAGTTGTTAAGAAGAGAAATGTTGTTGAAGAAGTAGAAAATGTTTAAGAAGTGAGTTGGAGTCAAAGAAAGGGTTAGCCTTTTATAGGCGAAAAACGCGTAAAATAAAGTTGAAATTGAAAGAAGGTTTAAGAAGGTTTTAGAACAAATAGAAGAAATTCGAAAAAGAAACATTCCGAATGAAAAGGAAAGTTCGAGTTTTAACTAAGAAAGGTAACGAAAATAAAAGAACTTCAAATAAAGTTGGCAAAGTTGGGGCTAAGCGTGGCATCTTGCGGAAAAATGAACGAAGTGGAAAATTTCAATAAAGAAGGTAATACAAGAATAATTGAAGTAATACAAGAGATATCGGGAAATTCCGTCACACATTTCACATGACAAGCCGCCTTTTTTTTTTTTTTTTTTTTTGTTTATAGTTATTTATTGGAGCAAACCCAAAATACAAAAGTCTCTCGACCCCCGCATTCTAAGAAAAACCAAGAAAATAACAAGCCTACGTGTCCCGTTCTGGGCTCAGGCACAATGACAGACCGAAGGTAAGAAGCATAAGAAAAGAGTGAGCGTGGTCCAAGGGGTAAGGGGGAGAGGTGAGGGAATCTAGGAAACCGTCCAGGGGTCTTTACGAAATCATGATATAGTTGAGACCCGGGGTATAGGTAATGTTTGTAGGGTACAGCATATAACAGAGGACCTTCAGGCCTGACAAGCCGCCTTAGCTCACCTGGGAGAGCGTAGCACTGAAGATGCTAAGGTACTCGGTTCGATCCGAGAGGCGGCATTTTCGCCTGCTTCTGTGGCGCAACTGGTTAGCGCGTGACGCTGTTAACGTCAAGGTTTCGTGGTTCGAGTCCACGCAGGAGCGTAGGGAAGAAATGTCCCACCTATTTGGTCGCGTGGTGTAGTCGGTTATCACATCTGTCTAACCACACAGAAGGTCTCCAGTTCGATCCTGGACGCAACCATTTTGACAAATCAACGTAGCTCCGCTAGCTCAGTTGGTTAGAGCGTGGTGCTAATAACGCCAAGGTCACAGGTTCGATCCCTGTGCGGAGCATTTTTCACTTAGGCCCGGCTAGCTCAATCGGTAGAGCGTCAGACTCTTAATCTGAAGGTTGTGGGTTCGACCCCCACGTTGGGCGTGACAAACAACAGTGTTGTCTCTAGTGCAGCCGCTCTAGTATAGTGGTTATTACTTCTCGTTGTGGCCGAGAGAACCCTGGTTCGATTCCAGGGGGCGGCATTTTTTTGCCAGACATTCCGAGAATCAGGCAGGTAGTTGAATTTGATCTACAGATTATTTTTGACAAGTCAATTTTTTTTTTTTTTTTTTTTCTGGCTGACATTTTCACTTTGTTTGTGGATTTACTTGGGAAGGCTTTGGGAGAGGTCCGGTGGCAAATCTTGGTTGTTCGAACCTACCAATGCGCCAACACATACACTAATACAAAAACGTTTACGATTTCATGCTGATAAGTACCTCTACCGTGTAAAGGATACGACATGAAAATTTTCTGCTCTAAATCTCTGTTGTTCCTGCACCACCTATTTGAATGAATTCAACGCGTTAGCTGCGTGATCAATTAGAAGTTTAACAATCATCGATTAATTATGCTGACACAGACAAAGCTGCCTGCGTCCCAGTACTCACATGCACTACTAGCCTGTGGTACATTAACAAAGAAGGTCGTATGGCATTCAACTATTAAGGATATTTCATACAGATGATTTCTCAATTGTCAGTCAGATTCATCAAAAATCTTAGTTGTTAGCATATACTTGTTCAAGGAACAGCACCAGACGTTTAAAACAAAGGCTAAAACAGAGTTAGAATACCTTTTGGGGGTATGAAGGACAATCCAGGCAAATTGCAGCCGTCTACAATTACCTAGCCCAACGCGTCCAGAATTATCCTCACGTCTGCTTTCACAAAGACGTTTTTCTTGGTTATCAACCTAGCCAGAAGCCCTTGAACAAGCATTGTTCACCTATCCTATGAAATCTCTCCATGTCCCAGATGCAAATGGAAGAGTCACCTGTCCAGGACTCCTACCATGATGTGGATATACGGCAAGATACTTCCATATAGATCAGCTATGGAAACAGATGATGAAGAAACTGATTGCACAATCACTTTTGATCCAGTCACGTTAATCATACAATCATGCAGTAAATACCAGCCATCACCTTAACCAAGTTTAAACGTCTGCAACTCAGGACCTTCCTACAATCCGTTATTACTCGTTAGATGGAAGAATCAGGACGGGAGGTATTGATCTGGCAGTGGTCTGGTCTTTGTTAGGAAAAAGGTAGCCATCAACTGCACCAAGAAGGCGAACATATATCAAAAGATGGCGGATGGGCCATAGCTGCAGGAATAGATCATCCCTCCAGAGTGCTTAGTAGACTGGTCTCCTGTCACTTTTTCCCTTTGCACCATTTAGCTTGCATGTTTAGCAATAAAAGCACTGTGATCTTCTCTTGACCCATCCCTCCCTACCTAGCTTTGACTAGGGGGTAGGCGAGAAGAGTAAAGGAGTTGCTCCAGCAGAGCAAGTTCACAGAGCACCTAGGGACAGGATGTACTCCTGAATCTAAGTGATGTTAATGTTGTTTGGCAATGGTGTGGGTGAGTGATTGCGAGCTTCTGCGTATTTGAGGGAGAAGGGAACAGATTTAGTATCTTCATTATCAACTTACCTTGCTTATAAACCAATATCAGCACCAGATTGTCTCCTGGCAATTGGGCATAGCTATAAGTCTCCATGCCACCCTACTATGGATGGCACCTTTTGGAACATGGGCTCTCGTTTGCCTCTCAGAGCTTTGAACAGGGTAACCTCACTCATTGCCTGCCATCAGCGCCTGCTCATCAGGTCGATGAGCGCCAGATGTGGAATGCAGCTGACCAAGCCTCAACTAAAGGACACTGTGAATGAGGAGGGATTCCATCACAGCCTTCCGTCTCAAACGCCCAGATTGCAGCTTCACCAGGCTGTAAGGGGGCAGAGGGGTGACTGTCATCCAACTAAGAGTGAAGGGGAGATCACGTCACGAGGCCACGCACGTGGGGATATAGGATAGACAATCAACTCAATATCAACTACTGGATTCAACAGGTCAAATTAGATCAAGAGATTTTGCATATTGAAGTAATACATAAAATACAAATGAAAAATAGACACAACATATGCACACACACATAAACCGCACATATGCGTGCCACCTCCTTCAATATAAACCCTATAAACGTGGGGAAAAAGTGCATATACAAAACCCAAAGGAAAAGGAAGGGAGGATTCAATATGACGCGTAAATGTTCATGGATGCGGAATATGCGGAACTCAACAGACTTAGACAAAATGTCCTTATGAGCTATAGGCCATGTGAGTATTGTAATTTTTCACATTCTCCCTATTTTAAGAACAGGCTTACATAAGAAAAGACGAACTTAGTTGTCAGAAGTATAAGAACCATCTGTGAATATATCAGAGCTTGCATTATTGGCAAGTCTATAAGGCTAGGTATTGGCAAAGTTTAAGTAATTGTTACCACCTAACATCTCTATGGCTAGTGGTATTTAGGAATATTGTGTGCACTTCTTTTATTTGCAGAAGGCCTGGGGTTGTTTGGGGCTTTGTGTGGCGGCTCTTGATCAAGTAGGTCAAGTGCCAGCAATGAGATCACGCTACATAATCATTGTGGTGAGTATCTCTGTGCTCTAAAATCAATTCAACCATCTCATGGTCCGTCAGTGGCGCCACAAAATGGTGTTAACATTCTATTTGCAAGGAATTTGTTTATCTACAAAGGTGTAGTTGATTCACCAAACAGCTTTATAGAATTCGGTTGGATCATGCAAGTATATTTGGGCGTATGCAGATTGCTATGACGAATCTATTCTTGAAACCTAAGTTAATGAATGAGCTAAGCCAGTAGCGTTCATCATTGATGGTTCTCAAACATCAATTGCTTTATGAGCAATGTTGAAATCTCCTACAACAATTGTATATGATTGAGCCTTGAGACACTTTACAAAAGTGTGTAGGCGTTCAAGGAACTTCATTTTATAATCCTGTCTGTGATCATGCCTTGTGCCATTTGGCGCATAGGCTTCCAAATTGAAAGTCTTGACCATCAAAAAAAACGCGTGGGCTTGCTGCTGCTGTTCTCGCGCTTGTCACCGGAGTCTTTAGCCATAACCAAAAGAAGTGCTACCAAAGTGAAGTTGAAAAAAATTCTTGAAATTCCGACATTAAAACTCTTAAAGCGTACTTTGCCTTATTACTTTTAACAAAGTTTCGGGGCTCATAGAATTTTCATCCAATTTTATTCAATAAAAATCTGTGCCTTTTATACGTGTTCTTACACTGAAACACTTCCCCTAGGGGCAGATGCCGCTCATCACGCTTCTGATTTGTACACGATGCGCAAACCAATAAATCCCACACGGCAAAGCGGTCAACCTGCCGCAACAATAAGTAAGCCATATGCGGCATCAACATCGCATATACAAACAGGCTTCAGGGATAAGGGGAGATAAACTGAAACAAAGATAAAGATGCAATAAACAAATCACATCAACTTAACGCGTCGGAAACAAAACATAATATTCGCGACGCGTAACAAAGGTGATTGGAGGATAATCAAGATAATGAAAACACTTAAACTAAACTTAACATCCAGGAGTGGAAAAACAATTTAAAGAAAAACTGTTTGACTAAAAGTAAGGGGACGAAACTGAATCTCCACGACGCGTTCCGACGCGTCTATACTTCACAGAAAAGTAAGTGGGGCAGCGTCAAGAAACCCATGACGCGTAAAATCCAACATTAACATGGAAGAAGCTATGTCCTTCCCTGATGAAGCCAAAATAGTATGCTGCAATGCTTCAAGAGTACAATGAGCTCATTAACAGAGGAACATGGGAAGGAAGTGGCTTTACCCCAAAATACACAGCATATTGATGGTTAGGGTTAGGTGACCAAAAAGTTTAGTTGATCCTTGACAAAGCGCAATGGGTCGCGCAGGGTTGTAGCCAAATTCTGAACGTGGAATACACCACAGTCTACTCCCCAGTAGCAAACTCAAAGACCATCCCACTCTTTTTGGCATTTGGGGCTTTGATTAAAATGTTTGTCTATCCAATAGACATAATAGTTGCATACCTCAATAGAACCTTACATAAGCTAAATTAGTTTAATTATGCCTCATGGTTTTAAGTGATTCACAGAGGCCAGAACGCCTTACGTCTGCAAGCATAAACTAGCACTTTACAGCTCTTGACAGTGTACACCAATCAGGAAAAGAGTGGTACAGTGCTCTCAAACAATAGTAATCAGAAAACGATGTTACCATCACTTGTGCTGATGTCTGCCATGTCCTTAAGTATTTTGAAGAATTTGGCTGTTTAGTCCACACTAATCAATACATTGATTACAATATAGTACTTGCTGAACGTGAATCAGCTATAGAACAATTATACTCGCTGAAGACAAATTAGCTATAAAACAATTCATTGCACGTGCCAATGAAAGGCTTAAAAAGTTTAAAGTTGGTTCCTCCGGCGGTTGACTAAATAATAAAAATTCAAGTCATGTAAAGATAAAGGAAGTTTTTTCGCCAACAGTTCTACACTTGGCACTTATTAAAATCATCCTAACCCGAACCAAAACATCTAAAACTAGACACCAATTTTTTTAAAAAAAAAACCTGGTTTTACAGATAAGCCAACCTCTATGGTTGTCAACTGGAAACACAATCCAGATGCAAATCCTCACCTAACCCTAAATCTAAGTATGATAAGCATGAGTTAGAATTATTCAGAAGCTAGCTAAATACAAGTACCTGCTCTCCTTTTTCATGCTGTTGGAAACTGGCGCGTTGTAGACGTGAAGTGTAACATATGAAGTAATGAATGAGTTTATCTGATTATAAACCCAAAAATAAAATAAACTACAGTTTC